AGGGTTAATGCATATTCTGTAGTAAACTAGTATGTTTGTTTATCACTGCTTGTATTGTTATTTGTATAGAGTAAAAACTTTGATTTGGTGATCCTAACTTTTCAGTCATCCCCTGATTTTATAAGTGTTTTGTATGTACCTACCCAGAGCAAAAGTTCAGTTGAATCACTGGTTCTTTCCTTGGTAATTTCAAAACCTAACTGTCTCTCTGCCTCTGCAATCCGTCATACAGGCCACTGCTGGTTACTCTCTTTAAACAGCTCATACCCTGTCACCTCAGAAACCTTCCATGGCTTTTTGCCTTCTGTGGTAATCGTCAGTGTGCTTCTCCAGTCTCAACCCACTTGTGTCCTCCTCATAAGACTCTTGCCTCTGAAACACTACACGTGCTCTGTACATCCACTTCACATCCCCTGGGTCTTTGTTTATGCTTTCCCCCTGACTCTGGAAGCCTTCAAACACCCACCACTTCTTACTGTATCTCTAGAAAGTCTAGTCATTCTTCTATACTCACTCAGCTCACTTGTGAAATTTTAAAGTGATGTCATTCTGCCTTGTATTATGTTTTCACCACACTAGATTCCAGACTCTTAGTGTACAGTACTTTGTATGTCCGTGCTTGGCAAATGTGTAAAAGGTGAGGGATCCAGTTGATCAGATTGGCCAGAAAACATGGCTAAATCTAGAGATTATCTCCCCAAAACATGTTTTTAAGGTCCCTGCCTTTGTGGATACAGAAGTACAAGATACCAAATATGTAAATACACAAGGTTATAATTGTTCATTATGATAACTGTTGTGAGAGAAAAACCATAGAGGGTTCAACTTTAGATGAAACAGTCAAAAAGACCTTGAGGCACAAAAGAGTCTGGGTGCAAGGAATGGCAAACCCACTACCTCCAGAACATAGGAAAAAGGTAAGAAATGGAGGTGCACAGGGCTCAGCCAGGGTCAGTTGTCTGGGAAGCCATCAGGACCACAGCAGGTGATCATGGCCACAGGTCCAGTTTGCTTTTTAAAGACGTTGGTAATTTGCCCCCATGTTATGTAAAGTGGTAGAAGGAATTAAATTCAACATGTGATTCTTTAAAGACTCTACTTGTAACTGATTCAGAAGTGAAATTAGCCAGATTTTTAGATCTATTCAGAAATGTAAGATATAAAGAGCATCATATAAATATATCTCCCATTTTATTTATTTATTTATTTATTTATTTATTCATTTATTTTGGCTGATTCAGCCACCTCCAAACTGAGCTGTTGATCTGGAAGATCATTCTCATGCCAAGCTATTTCTTATATTTCTAGTAGTTCCTAAATTTTCCTCCTTTTTTTTTTTTTTAGGTTGAATGCAATTCTCGCCTGAATCCTATAAATACAACTTTGCTAAAGGTAATACATCTTCTTTCCTTATTGCCAACCATATCAGAGTATTTTATACATGGTTCCGATTACTGTATTTCTAGAATAGTTGCCCAGAAAGAAGGAAAGCTTCTTTCTCTCTCTCTTTCTCTCTCTGAGATTCTCTCATTCCTTTTTTATTAAGAAAAAATTTTCTTAATATATTTTCATTGTAGAAAATTGGAAAATAGAGAAAAGTAGAAAGAATAATGTAAGTAAAAATTATCCATAATCCTACACCCAAAGGCAACCTATGGTAAAAATACTGATGTCTTTTTCCTATACATTTTTAGATCATTAAGACTATAGGATATTTATAGCATTGATTTCTTTTAATATATTTTTATTGATTTCAGAGAGGGAGAGAGAGATAGAAACGTTAGTGATGAGAGAGAATCATTGATTGGCTGCCTCCTGCACGCCCCCTACTGGGGATCGAGCAGCAACCCGGGCATGTGGCCTTGGTCAGAATCAAACCCGGGACCCTTCAGTCTGCAGGCCAATGCTCTATCCACTGAGCCAAACCAGCTAGGGCTAGCCCTGTTTTCCTCAACTTTTTTGACTTGAGCATCTTCCGTGTCATTATATACTTCATAAGCATTATTTTTTTTTTTCTTTTATATAATTTATTGATTTTTTACAGAAAGGAAGGGAGAGAGATAGAGAGTTAGAAACATAGATGAGAGAGAAACATCGATCAGCTGCCTCCTGCACATCTCCTAATGGGGGTGGGCCAGCAACCCAGGTACACGCCCTTGGCCGGAATCGAACCCGGGACCTTTCAGTCCACAGGCCGACACTCTATCCACTGAGCCAAACCGGTTTCAGCCAGAATAGCTTTTGGGGCTATGATGGAAGAGCCATGGTTAAAATTGTCTGGGAAAATATATCCTGCCCCAGGGACAGGCCCATGATATCTTACAGGCTATTCAAAATTTCCTACATATAGGATACATTTACAACTGCTACAACCCCTCATCACCTGTCCTAGCCTAGCCTTCCTACTGCAAGATGTCATCAAAACCTGTTCTACTTGTTACTCAGTATCTTCCCAAGGACAGGTTAGATTAGACCCCCTTCTTTCCCCACTCATCAGGCAAGGGGCCAAATCTCTGAACAAGACTGGCAAACTGACTTCACTCACATGCTTCCTATTTTTAAAACACAAAAGAACAAATATCTGTTAATCCTTGTAGATACCTTCTGAGGCTGGGTAGAAGCATTCCCCATTGAGTCTGTAAAGTCCATTGAGGTCACACAAGCTCCCATTCAGCACATCATTCCCAGATCCAGCCTCCCCACCTCATTACAAGCAGATAATGGACCTGCTTTCATATATCAAATAACTCAACAGGTCTCCTCCACTCTGAATATCCTGTGGAATTTACACCCCCCACCAGCTCCAATCTTCAGACAAGAAAGAAAAGAGAAATTCCTTTGTTAAGTCCCACCTACCTAAATTAACTCTCAAAACTAAAGAACCTTAAACTGATCTCCTACTGGTAGCCTTTTTGCACAACAGAGCAATCCCCCCACCATGCACCCTCCTTTCTTAGTCCCTTTGAATTCATGTATGGAAGACTCTTCTTATTAGGAAACTTGCCTTCCACAGAAACCTTCTCGGAGTCTATGTCCCCATTTTAAATCTATTCCAACAATTACTGAGAGAACATGCTAATCAAGCCCTCCTCCACCTTCTAAGGGAGACATCCCGCTAAGCCTCTACAGCCAGGTGGCTGTGTCCTCCTAAAGGAAACAAGAGACCACGCGTAATAAAAACCCACCCATCAGAGACACAGCTGACTCTCATAGCCAGTTAGCCTGGAGGTCAATTCACCCCCCGTATTGCCAACAACAATCAAGGCTTAACTACAACAAGACTGCGCACAAAGACCACAAGGGGGTACACCAAGAAAGCATAAAAAATGCGGAGACAAAAAAACATGACAGAAATGGGGGATATAGAGCTAAAAAACGCACTTTTAAGGGCTTTCAATAATTTGCTAGAAACTGCCGATAAACTTGATGAGAGCCTCAAGAAATCTAATGAGACCCTCGATGTTGTGATAAAGGAAAAATTAGAAATTAAGCATACACTGACTGAAATAAAGAATATTATACAGACACCCAACAGCAGACCTGAGGAGCGCAAGAATCAAGTCAAAGATTTGAAATGTGAAGAAGCAAAAAACACCCAACTGGAAAAGTAAAATGAAAAAAGAATCCGAAAATACAAAGATAGTGTAAGGAGCCTCTGGGACAGCTTCAAGCATACAAACATCAGAATTATAGGGGTGCCAGAAGTTGAAAGACAGCAAGATATTGAAAACCTATTTGAAGAAATAATGACAGAAAACTTCCCCCACCTGGTGAAAGAAATGGACTTACAGGTCCAAGAAGCACAGAGAACCCCAAACAAAAGGAATCCAAAGAGGACCACACCAAGACACATCATAATTAAAATGCCAAGAGCAAAAGACAAAGAGAGAATCTTAAAAGCAGCAAGAGAAAGAAAGTCAATTACCTACAAGGGAATACCCATACAACTGTCAGCTGATTTCTCAACAGAAACTTTGCAGGCCAGAAGGGAATGGCAAATATTCAAAGTGATGAATACCAAGAACCTACAACCAAGATTACTTTATCCAGCAAAGCTATCATTCAGAATTGAAGGTCAGATAAAGAGCTTCACAGACAAGGAAAAGCTAAAGGAGTTCATCACCACCAAACCAGTATTATATGAAATGCTGAAAGGTATCCTTTAAGAAGAGGAAGAAGAAAAAGGTAAAGATACAAATTATGAACAACAAACATACATCTATCAACAAGTGAATCTAAGAATCAAGTGAATAAATAATCTGATGTACAGAATGAACTGGTGATTATAATGAATCAGGGACATAGAAAGGGAATGGACTGACTATTCTTGGGGGGGAAAGGGGAGTGGGAGTTGCGGGAAGAGACTGGACAAAAATCGTGCACCTATGGATGAGGACAGTGGGTGGTGAGTGAAGGCGGAGGGTGGGGCGGGAACTGAGCGGAGGGGAGTTATGGGGGGAAAGAAGAGGAACAAATGTAATAATCTGAACAATAAAGATTTAATTAAAAAAAAAAACCCACTCATCAAATACTTTACAGCCCCGATGGCAAGGCCCTTAGCAGGTACTCTTAACCACCCCACTGCAGCTAAACTATCAGAGCAAACCCTGTGGTTCCACCTTTCCAGATTAAAACCCATCCCCAGAAAACTTCCATCACGTGAGCTGGAGTCCCCTAACTATTACAGCCACCAGGTTGGGCCCACCAGACTCCGCCTTACCCTCATCAATGGCTCACCCAATGCAGATGTAGGCCCAATAATCAGTGTTTACCCGTCCCCGTAACCCACCATATCCAACAAAAAAGCGCAGTTCAGATAATCCCTCTCCTCAAAACCCTGGGCATCACAGCAGAGGCTGGAACTGGCACAGGGGGCCTAACCACTGCTCACCCATTTGGAAATCCTGCCTCAGGACCTACAAAAGCTCCAGATGCCAACAAGGGGCACAACTGGGAAACAAGAACCTCGCCCCCAGGGTAACCTCCCCTCCCCTAGCAAATAACTAGTCAGGCTACTAAAACCCCTGACCTTTTCTCCCTAAAGATCACATCTAGGCCTCAGTTGCATTTCAGCTCCAGGCCCAGAAAAGCAGCAAAAGCAGACAAGTGACGCTGTGGCAGCCTCGGGACCAGCTTCTGCCTCCCAAATCCCCCAACAGGACCGTTTTCGAGCCTTCCAGGTGGCCTAATAAATCCGTAATTCTTCTCCCTTTTTGGCCTTGTGTTCCTCCTTCCGCGACCCTAATATCTATGGCCCCAGCGTCCTGAGAATGAAGGTAAAAGTCCTTCTGTCCACAGCTGCTGTCCTCTGTCCTCCAGGCTGTCCTTTCTCTGAGCAATGTTAGGAAAAGTTAGAATCCGGCCTCAGAAAATGTCCCTCCTTTCATCACAACCATCTATGGCCCCAGCGTCCTGAGAGGGAAAGTAAAACTCCTCCTGCAAAACCTCCCCTCCTCTCTGTGTTGCCTTTACACCCACAACAGGCCCGGGTTCCCGAGTCCTCCCTGCGCAGTCGCACCATCACGTCCTCACAAGGCGGCCCTGCGGCCTTTCACCCTCTTCCCCCCTCAGCCATGTGTCACCCACGAGGGACTCACCATTCTGAGCGCGGGGACCTGGGCGGCGGTACCTGAGAGGCCGGTCCCCAAGGCTGGAGGGGGAAATGGGGTCCGCCTGCGGGGACGCTGTGAGCAGAGAGGAGTCCGGGAGGCACGGGGACCCCAATCTCGGGCTGTTGGGCTCAAGGAGCCTCAGACACACCCCGCACGGCAGGCGCGCTGCCTCCCAGGCCGCCTCCGACTCACGACCAGCGCCCTGAAGCCTGTAAATCTGTGAACAAAGACCTGAGAGGTGAATATGACCACAGCGAGGAGGAAGGCGGAAGTCCCCAAGCATTATTTAATTTTGTGAAAATTAAGATAATGGATAGAAATTCTTTATATGCTAAATCCTATTGTATTAGTAAGGAAGCTCCCAATAACCTCTCTTTTAGGCAAATAGAGAACAGCTCATGTACTAAATTTTTAGGGTTAGTATCAAGTTTCTCCCCCTTTTGATTGAACTCCAGGCAAGAGCATTAATCTTGCTTTTTCTAGCACTTCTAGTGTAATGTTTAGGGACTGACCCTTTGGTTCAAATTTGGATTACTGTAGATATGAGTGCTGATTTTATGTTGCTTACTGCTGCTTTCTCAGCCTGAAACACCTGCTTTCTTCCTTTTCTCTTTGAAGTGTGATTGAAAAGGAAGTGCTGTCACCAGAAGCAGCCCATAGTTCCTGGAAATATAGCATGAGATTAATACTCAGAGGTGACAAAATTAAGTGTTCTGGGGTCCAGGTGATTGATGAACTAGTCTAAAATATGAATGTTTTTAAAGTACGTGGTTTCAAATTAGTTTCTCCCGGCAGGTTTGAATCCATACTCCAGAAACAGAAAAGTGAACTCTACAGTAGCCATAGATGTGGGCAAAAGGGCCCATCTACAACCCAATGAGTGAACTGACTCTCCAACTATTTGATAGATGTCAAGCTTGGAAATAGTTCCTCCCAATATTCTTTCTCTGCATATGGCAACTGATTTATGGTTCTAATCAGATTTTGACTCCTAAATATCATAAAAATATAACCTGTGCCAGTGAGGTCTGTTTTATACTTAAATCATGTTAAATGTTTGTCCCTGCTCTTATGCTTATAATTTTCAGGGCGCTGTTTCTTATTAACCCCAAATTTCTTTACCTTCTATAGTATCCCATGTGCTAAATAATAGTCCCTCCCTCAAGGAAAGTTTTTGTGTTGGTGAATAGAAACCATGGTGTTCACATCTCTTTTTTTTAAATGCCAGTCAGCCTGAATAGGATACTGTCTATGAGTACCAAATGCATAACAGGGGAAGGAGAGGGGTGGGCTCTTGGTTAGCCATCATGCCCTAGAAGCAGTATTCTCTGCAGACTGACAGAATCTGCATCACCTGGGAGTTTGTTGCAAATGCAAATTCTTGAGCCCCAACCCAGAATCTCTAGGGCAGGAACCCAAGATTCTGAGTTTTAACGAGTCCTCTAGGTAATTCCAGTGCATGCAAATAGAACTCTAGAAATCCTTGCACAAGTGAGAATAACCAGATGTAAAGATTTATGAAGTGCCCTGACATGTGTGGCTCGGTTGGTTGCCATCCTGTACATCAAAAGGTCACCAGTTCAATTCCCAGTCAGGGCACATACCCAGTCGGGGTGCATGCAGGAGGCAACCGATCAGTGTTTCTCTCTCCCTCTTTTTTCTCTCTCTAAAAATAAATAAATAAATAAGTTAAAACATTAAAAAAAGAAGAAAAGATTAATGAAGTGAGAGACAGCCTCATCAAATCTAGCTATGGCAGGAAAGTGGCTGATCAAGCGAGTTGGCCGAATCCACACCAGCACCTGATTTTTAATTTATTTTTTTAATCCTCACTCGATATTTTTCCATTGATTTTTAGAGAGTGGAAGAGAGAAGGAAAGACAGAGAGAAACATCGATGTGAGAGAAACACATCAATTGGTTGCCTTTTGCACGTGCCCTGACCAGGGCCAGGGCCAGGGAGGAGCCTGCAACCTATGGACCCTTTGGTCCACAGGCCAACACTCTATCCACTGAGCCAAATCGGCTGGGGCCAGCTCCTGATTTGAAAATCCCCTTAGTCATGGAATAAATATAATATAGAGCTGAGAGGGAACTTGGAACACACGAACCCTGAGAAGGTAGGGTCACTCTGAGGACTCTGAGAGTAACATTCTTCAGGTGGAGGCGGAACCATGGTTGGTGGTGGTTAACTTCACCACCACCCCTAACAGAAAAGTCCCGCTGTGGGCCTGAAAGCTAGGCTCTGCACCTTACTGATTAAGTAACAGTATTTTCAGATGTATGTACCAGGTCATTGCTAGAATATAAGTCTTTGTATAAGAGTGCATTGAGGAGATGTATACTTGGAAGCAGTTAAACATTAAATTAAGGAACCTAAAATTCAATCCTTTCCTGTTTGAAAGGACTCGTGGATATTCAGAACATTTCCCTTAAGTGTAAGTTCCAGCTGACTTACATATTTTTCCCCTTTTAGATGGCAGACTGTGGTGGACTGCCCCAAGTAGTTCAGGTAAGGAGATTTTTTTTTTTAAAGCACTTATTTGACTCTGCCTCATTGCCTGTACAAACATTAATGCCTTCTTATTTTGTCACCCTAGCCTGGGAAGCTCACTGAGGCCTTCAAGTACTTTTTGCAGGGAATGGGATACAGTGAGTAGTATACAATTTTCTATCTAGCAAAAATTTATTGGTGTTGGAGTCATTTTGACATCTTGTGGGAGCCCACAATTCTCTGCGCTAGCCAGCCTGAAGTCAAGTAGAAACGAAAACGGTTCTGCAGTGTGTGTGTGTGTGTGTGTGTGTGTGTGTGTGTGTGTGATGAGCTAAAACACTTATTAAAACAATTAGAGGTTATATGCCAAGCACTCTGTATTTATAACCTTAAGAGGTAAGTTCTGCTATTTGTCCTATTTTATAGAAGAAATTAAGACTCAAAGAAGCTAAGCACATTTCCTAGAGTGTAACAGTTCAGCCACAGAGCCATGTTCAAACCCTGGAAGTCTGATTCCAGAGCCCCCACACTGAACCACTGAAGCTTAGGCTGGCCTACCTGTAAATCTGAAATTATGATTTGCATTTAAACTCAGCTGGTTAATGACTCCTGGCCTAGAGCAGCGGTCACCAACTTTCGGACCTCACAGACCACCAGTGGTCTGCGGACCACCGGTTGGCGACTGCTGGCCTAGAGAAACAAAAGGGTGACTAGAGAAGAAAAGGGTAGTGTCCCTCAGCTAAATCTGCTCCACAACAGGAGGTGAACTTTTTAGAGTGAGTCAAGGGATGTGTCCATAGCACGTGCCACTGTCCTGATCTCTTGAATTGTGAGACCCCTGAGCTTTCTTATTTGTCACAGACTATCCACACTTGCTCCTTTCTTGGAGTTTTAAGAAAAACTCTTCCACCCAGGTACAGAGCTGTTTACCTAGTAGGGTGGTTTTCTCCTGTTTTTGGTATTAGTGCGGATAATGGCCATTGGGCAGCAGCTGGTCCCCTGGGTCTAGCCCAATACCTGGCAGGAAAAGCATGTATGTGTTGTCTAGAGTGGCTATGTGATCCCCGTCTGTGATCTACCACCAATCAAGCCCATACCTTGTCCTTCTGGGCCACTGGGAGGGACAGGAGCCCCTTTCCCAGCCAGTTCTCTCATCCTTCTCCGAGAAAACAGTTGGTCTTCCAGCCCATTTCTTTCTCTCTTTTTTTTCCCCTTTTAATATATTTTTATTGATTTCAGAGAGGAAGGGAGGAGAGAGATAGAAACATCAGTGATGTGAGAGAATAATTAATCGGCTACTTCTTGCACGCCCCCTACTGGGGATTGAGCCCACAACCCAGGCATGTGCCCTGACTGGGAATCGAACCATGACCCCTGGTTCATAGGTCGATGCTCAACCACTGAGCCACACCAGCCAGGCCTTCCAGCCCATTTCTAATCCAGAGCAGGGTAGGCTGTTTATAGTGGAGGGGAAGACCTTTGACTGGTTGAGAGAAGTAACATCTGAGATTCTATAGAGCATCAGTCAGCCTCACCTGTCTGAGATAAAACTTCAACCCTGGCACTCTGGCCAATGTAGCTCAGTTGATTGCATGTCATCCCATGCACCAGAAGGTTGCCGATTCTATTCGGGGTCAGGACACATGCCTGACCCCAATAGGGAAGGTACTGGAGCAGCCAATTGATGTTTCTCTTTCACATCAATGTTTCTCTCCCTCTCCCTTCTTCTCTCTAAAATAGTTTTTTAAAAAGCATATTTAAAAAGCAGGAAACAAAAACTTAATCCTTGGCTTAAGAGTATTCTCTCAGTGTCTGCTAGGCAGCTGAGGTTGCCACTTGGCACTCTCGGGTCACTAACCTGCCTTTTCCTGTGTCCACCTGCTTCCAGTCCCGTATGTGCAGCTCAGTCACCTGAGCACCGAGTCAGGTACCTTCCTCTGTGCTGGCCCTGCTCCCGCCTCCCAGCCATGCTCTCCTGGCTGCATTGGCTGCCTGCAGCATGTCCGCAGTTTTCCTGTGCAGTGAGAGCCTGATAGAACGTGGCTCATTGTGCCCCAAGAGTGTTAGCCTGCAGGTCTAGCCCTGGGCCACCAGGAAGGAAGAAAGGAGTGGGTTATACTAGTAATAGCACTTCATCTCATCATCCTAAGTTGAGTTACAGGAGCACTGAAACTTTATAGGCAGGGCCCCTCTTCCCCCATTACCTACTGAACCTTGCATTAACTCCCAGACACAGGAATCAAAGGGCCGCCTTGATTCTAAATAGGACCATCAGAACCTGTGCCTAGAAATTTCTGCAGGTGATGGCATCTTTTGACCCCAGAATTTGAAGTAACAGCCGGGAGAATGGCTGGTGCTTCAGGAAGATAGGCAGAGAGGTTATGCCAGGTAAGGCCCTGTTCTGGCCAAGTGGAGGACCTTAGACTCAAAGCAGTGGCAAAACAGGAATCTGAGTTAGACACCCACCCTCAGAGCCCTTCCTGCTCAGGCAGCCACCAGCTTCAGGCATGTCTCCTCCCCGGTAGCAAGGGTAGCCTGTGGACATGGATGGTAGTCTTGTTGTATCGGGCTTGCACTGTGTTTGTGAAACACCTTCATACTTGTGTGGTTTGTCTTTCTTTTTGGTTTATTCTTGCATGCACTGCAGGTTTTGGTTACCTGTGTGGGTTCCCAAAGCTTCCTCCCTAATTATTCATTATGAATGGCGTGGGCATAGCTAAGAGGCATACTCTGGACTTAGGTTTTTCCTTGTTCTGCTGTGGACAAGAATCAACTGAGATTCCAGATCTAGAGGATTAAAGCAGCCTTGCATATAGCTACTCACCTTGAGCAAATAATGCAAAGTGAAGATGGCTTTGTCTTGTCCTGGGTGTCACCTTAAATGGATTGGGAAAGCTAAACATAAAGCCTTTGGTGAAACTTCTGGATTAACTGAGTTTAACCAGGGCTCCATCTTCTAGTCCTCTTGGTTCTTTTTTACAGTACCATCTGCCAGCATGACCCGGCTCGTCCGATCACG